TTATTGAAATTGTTGTGTGCGGCTGCAGCTAGGTGTTTACCTGTCAGCCATCCCGGAACCTTCCTCATTTCTGTATTCTTTTAAATTTTGAAAATGAACTGTATGTTAATGAACACTGACTTTATCCTCATTCAAAGTATGTATATATATTTCTGAGGTACCCTATATATGAAAGAGCTTTTTCTCCCTGAAATTTATAGTTTATAAATTTAATATTTTTTTGCTATTTATAATCAGATGTTTCTAGTTAATACAGGATTAATAATAATTGTACATTACTGTCATGCCTTTCAAAATGTTTTTAAGCAATAGAAGAGTTTCTTTATATTAAATCTGACCCAGAGGTTTATTATGTAAAATAGATAAAAATCAAATAAGTTGTGGTTAAAACAGAGCCTTTAACGATACGCCTATTTCCTTTGCAAGGTAGTTTCTAGGCTTGTCCTCCCTCTCCATACCCCAAGCTCTCTGGAGGCTCCTTAGGAGCCCACTGTTGTACAGGCCACAGATACCCTGAAGATTGGGATCTGAGAGGTGGGATCCTCACTATTTTCTTCATGTGGATAAAGCAAAACTCAAGAGATCACTCTGACACAAAGTCTTCTGAACTTAAACACAGTGTCCTATACAATAAGAAAGGAATATGCTAATGATCTGGATGCTGCAACGTCATAACCAATCTACAAGTGGTAGAGAGCTACAGGAGGGCGGGGGAGCCCGTGGAGAGTTACAGGAGGGTGTGACAGTGAGCTACCAGCCATGGTGGGCGGGTGGCCAGCTGAGGCAAGCGGCAGTAAGCTACTTGCACAAGGATTTGTGTGCAGGGCTACTAGTCTTTTAATATTTTTGTTTTTAGTTGGAAAGTATTTTAAAATGACATCTTGCCCCTTGCTGTCTAAATAAACTTTCTCAGGTGTTCTCAAAGGGAGCCTGCACGTAGAATGTGAACTGTGGGTGACCTGGGGTTTTTGAATATGTGCTAATGTAAAAAACAAATCCTGATTTATTGGCTTTTAACCTTTCGGGTTTAAGATTCTCTGAATCTTTAGAAAAAGCAACTAATCTTATATAAGTTTTCAGTTATGCAAAATGGCCCACCTTGAAAACAATGTTTTCCTAAACCTCCCATTTTGCCAGTGTCCTGATGGTAAATTCTTGGAGGCTGGGGCAACTCTTTATTATTATTATTTCTTGATTAAAATATTACATATGTCTCCTTTCCCCCCTCTCCCAGGCCTCTCCCAACCCCCCAGCACATGCCCTTATCCTCCTAGTGAAATGTATTTTGTTGATTTCAGAGAGGGAGGGAGATAGAAATAGCAGTGATGAGATAACCTTTGATTGGCTGCCTCCTGCACGCCCCATACTATGAATCAAGGCCGCAATCTGGGCATATGCCCTGACTGGAATCAAATCGTGACCTCCTGGTTCATAGGTCTTGTTCTCAACTGTTGAGCCATGCCTATTGGACAACGAGTGCGACTCTTGATTAATGCTCCAAGTTTTTAGATTTATAGCTCATCATCATAATTTCCTTGTTTCCCTTGGTGGCAGTAGGCCTTGGTGCTTGGGTTGCATTCAGAATGAGAACTGTGTATAAGGATCATCAAATCATCATGGACAATTTTGGGTCATGTCATCTATAAATGTGTGGAGAAGAAGGAGGTTGGGGACAGAAAAATGATGCAGCCTAATAAATCAGGGACCTAGAAAATGCTCCAAGTAACTACTAAACTTTTTGGATTTAATGATAAGACAAAAAAATGAGTGATCAGAGGACAGGCGGAGGTTTGCATCACAGGGATTTTATCTGCATTCCCCTGATTAGGCAACTGAAGTTTTGTGCTTTGCTATTCTTCTTGATGACATTGTTATATCCTTGCTGTCCCAAGAAAGGTGACTGATTCTCTGTTGGTTTTATGAAAGGAAACATGCAGAACGAATGACTCACAATTACAGCCTTTCTTTTTTTTTTTTTTTTTTTTTATTCCAGACAAGAAAATTGGTTTATGTGTGCGACTCGATAAAACATTCAATTGAGAAGAAACTTTACTAATTGCATTCAGTGAAATGAAATGCCCTCTGAATAAGACCATTTGTTGGTTAAATCACATTATCAGCAGAGTTATAAATCTGAATCATCTTGTGCTAATGAAATTCACTAACGTTTCTTTCATTCATTTCAGTCTTTCTGTATCAGATCAGCTTTATGTATATGTACATACACAAAAAATTGTATATCTCAATGCATAAATAAAATCAGGCAATGTAAATTATTTTAATTTATTAGACACAGTAACTGTGGATTTTAATATATATATATATATATATATATATATATATATTATTAATTTTTTACAGAGAGGAAGGGAGAGGGATAGAGAGCTAGAAACATCGGTGAGAGAGAAACATCGACCAGCTGCCTCCTGCATACTCCCTACCGGGGATGTGCCCGCAACCAACATACATGCCCTTGACTGGAATCGAACCTGGGACCCTTCAGTCCATAGGCCGATGCTCTATCCACTGAGCCAAACCAGTTTCAGCAGAAAATGTGGATTCTTTTACTTTTACTTAATGATAATGATAATGATGAAGTATTATTTTTCTTGCAAAACTTACCAACAGTAGACTAGGGTCCAATAGTTGGATTTCTTGTTTATAATAATAAAAAAAAGATTATATATATATATATATATATATATATATATATATATTCTATTTATAAAAGCAGGATTATTCCAGAAGGTTTTATTAAAGGTACCTTTTGTAGCCTCTGTTTGATAAAAATGAGACAGAGATTTTACCTACAAAGAAGATGCATCCTCCCCAAAAGCAAACAAAATCCTAAGTGTCTATACCTGTGAAAGTTTTAGTTCTTTTTTACACTGATTTTAGCTTTGAGAGACAAGAGGTGTTGGTTGAGAAATGAATCTGAGTTGGGTGTTCCTCCTAAGTATTTCTGTTGGAAAGTCCCATGGTATTGCTGTTGCTTATGTGGCTTTCTCTTTGATTGTGAATTCTTTGAGGGAAGATACCATGTTATTTACCATAGTGACCTCAGTACTGGTTACTGGGGTCACAAAGGATCTGCTACATTAATGTTGATGAAAGGCATAAATATACATATACTCCTATGATGCAACCACTCACTACATTGCTTACAATATAAAATTTTATTTTGTTATTATCTTCAAAGATTAATTTCCTTCAGAGTTTCCTTCAAGGTTGTAGAAGTCTTACCCTTTCATGATGGATTTGATTTTTGGAGGTAGGGTTATTTGAAACTAGATTTGAGTGAACAAAGTAGTTGCTTCTGCTGGGCACCATTTTTATTTTTGATGCAGCACAACAAAATAGATTTGTGTGTGTTTTTGAGGGTATGATAGGTTCTGAAGACGGTTTCAAAAGAGACATTCCCAAAATGTTTTGATAAATGGTTGCATCATTGAAATTATGTCTCCCTAAAGAACAACAATGAAGAATAGTCATTTGGTTGTGTAGACTTTGAAGTCACAGTAACCTTCCATTTGGTTATTCATATTCTGGTGCCTACTCTTAAGGCTATGAAAAGCTTCTAGTGTTATTTTATGTTCTTTCCTTAAAACTTTCAGTGACTCTCAGCTATAGAATAAGTTCCAAAAGCTTTATATTGGCATTTAAAGCAACCCATTATTGGGCCTCAGTCTATATTTCCAAATTTATGCCTACTTTTCCCCCATCATGTAACCTATACATCAATCAAAGGGAAGCAGTCAGTCCCCATTTAAGAGCTGTACTTTCTTATAATGTAGAATGATCATTCAATCCATATCATCAAAAAGAAGCCATGCTTTTCCTTAAAGCTATATTATAAATACTAGCCAACTATAATTCTCTCTTTTCTTTCACTTCTATTATTAAATGTGTAAGTTTTATGGCCCTTGTCATTTCCACCTTGTTTTATAGTGTTTACATAAAGGTCTTAACTGTTGTATTTGACTCTATGCCATTTGAGCCCAAATAACAAAATATTCTTGGTTCTTGACTCCTTCATGCCTTTTAGTCCAGAACTTTGCATATAGTGTAGCCTTAACAAATATTTATAGGGAGTATGAGCATATAAGAACACACATATATATATATATATATAAACTTGAGAGTATCAAATGGTTTGAGCAGTTAAGAGTAAGAACTCTATGTTATTGCTTCTTATATTTCTAAAGAGTATTTGGAATTTGGAAATTTTTATTCCTATAAAAATCTAATAGTTTTGATCAGCATTACAGAGTAAATTATTATAGGACTATGAATAATTGGGATACTCAGGAAAGAAGGTGTTCTGAATAATTTTCTGGTTAGCTTAGAGTTAGGCAGAAAATCTATTTGTTTCATTTCTTGTTGAAAATTCTTTCTAAATATGTTAATTTCTTATCTTAGGCTAAGAGCATCATTAAAATTTTCTTTGATAAATGAGAATGTTAAAATGCTTTTGGGTAATCATTGCATACCTTAATTCTCATCTTACATGACCATATATGCAAAAAAAAAAAAAAAAAAAAGAGGTTTTAAGTTTGGATTGTATCTCTTTTTACTATTTTTAGCCTTGGATGTTATTTTTGGATGGGAACAAATATATGATATATATTTTTATAACCTTAACATAGAAAAAGCCAGAATATGTACTCTATTGTGTTTATGAATGCTTTCTTCACTTTCAGTTGAATATTGCCATAGCATTTTGCTACATAATTATTGTAAAATTTTATTTCCATCAGAAATGTTGTATTTATAACTTTATTGGTATGTACATGTGTATAAATTATAATACTTTACCACATATATTTTTTGTTGTTTAACCTTTGATTTAGCCTTTTTTCTCCTAACAATTTCCAAGTTATACGTAGTTTCAAATTTGTAAGTTAGCCTCTTTTCCACTGACATAATTCTTTTGTCTTTGTTACTTTTTCAGAAGTTTCCACAAATAACATTAATTTGTAGAGAATATTAAGACAGTAACCATGAACAGCAAAGACTTTGTAGTTCTTCCATGGGGAAAACCTGGACATTCTGTGAAGCTAAAATATAAGTAAGTGCATACAATATTTACTTAAGGAGAAATAATTGCTGAAGTTTTTGCATATTGTACCTAACTGAAAGCATTTTTGCTTAAGGCTGTTTAGAGTTGAACTCTAAATTTATGAATTCTTATCTCTTTTTTGTTTTCACAGCTGTATTTTCATCTATAAGAGGGTTGGCCTGATAATAGTTTAAAAAGTAAGAAATAAAATATTTATGACACAGGAATAGAAGGAAAAAGTTATAAATGAAGGTTGTGCATACTGACTATTAAAACTATAGCAGAAAGTTACAAATATTTTTGTGACACTTATATAAAATAAAATAAAAAATTTCTCTGTGAAAATGGAAAGAAACTTAAAATTAAGGAGACTGTTAGGGTGAGTGACCTTTTAACAGGAAAAAGGAAGCCCTCACTTTGCATGGTTAAAAAATGCTATGTTGAATGCACCTTTCTCAGGAAGAATACCCTCTTGTCCTAGATTGCCTGGTAGATGCGTTCAGCCAGAGCCAAGCTGCTCTGGGTATCTGGGAATTTCATGATGTGGCGAGGATGCCAGAAGTTCAGTATACTGTTTGCCTTTGAGAACATCTATCTAGAGTCCCTGAAAATTCCCAAGATGTCCCTGTCCAACATCACTAAAAGCCCACTAGTACAGGTTGGGAACAGACTGTTGGTTTTTTATTTTAGTTTCTGAGTTCCCTGGTCCAGACCAATAGTCCTATGGTATTCAATGTCTTCATAGCTTTCCTAATCCTCCCTTTACTGTAAAAGCATTGTGTAATTAGAAAATGCTCTACAAATTTATGGCATTATCATGATAAGGATCCACATTTTTTTTTTTTTTTTTTGGTGGGGAAGGGAGGTATGCAATCGCTGGTATTATCAATTTTCCTTTATTCTGCTAAAAAGAGAAGGGGATGTGCCTTTGATTTTAGTGATATGTTTCAAATCTGTGTGTACAGACTTATAAACATTCATCCAACAAACATTTATTATGAGTTCTAGGGAATGGTGGAAACAAAATGAGGAAGTCATAATCTGTCCTCAGGCACCTTGTAGAGGATGTTAGTAAACAAAATTGTCCCTACAGTTCCAGGGGCTGAATATGTGCCGTTTTGCTATACTCAGGTACCTCCCGGTACACCTCCAGCGAGCTCACAAGCACACTGTATCTCAATTTCACTCAGACGTGTTCGTGTTCCTCTCTATGCTAGAAGCTCCATGGGGTCTCATGTTCTATTACCTAATTTAGTGAGGGTTTGATATGTATTATAGTAGGGGCTGAATTACACCTTGCAGAGCAGACATAATGAAAGCAATGCCCTTCCCTCAATATCTTTGCCAGCGTCTCTAAACCTTCTGGACAGCCTTTTCCTCTTGTCACTTTTCATATATCTCCCTGGATTGTATTCATTTTGGAACATAGCATTGGCTCCCTTGCTCCTTGGTGACTGCTCCCATCGCTATAAATCAGTTCTCTCTTCTGATTTCCATTATTCTTATTTTGGTTTCTTGCTATAGCATGTGTGGGTGCCCATTCAGAAAATAGAGATTTAAACTCATGATAGGTAACAAAATATAGACAGCTAAGTTAGCTTAGACCCACGGAAGAGTCAATGACATGCTGGCTAGAAAATAGAAGGAAATGGATGTGTCAAAAGCTTGGTGGGCTTCAGATATTATAAAAATTTCTTGTACAGGGATCTATAAGGGGGCTCTTGTCTCAGAAGTTATCTTCTTATTGTTTTTCTTCAAGGAAAGAATTGGTGGTGCTTGGCTCAGTTACCATTTAATCTTTTCGATGGCTCCTGTACCAAAAACCCTATTATCAAAAATAAATAAATAAATAAATAAATAAATAAATAAATAAATAAATAAATAATAAAAAAAGAAAAGAGCCTGCATGGAGAATATATATATATATATGACACAAAGATATAAATTTACTTTAGCAAAAATAAATTTATTTATTTGAAGAGTTAGCAAAAATATGTAGTCTGCTTACACAGAAAAAATGGTTATTTTAAACAGTGTCTTGAAAAACACTCAAATCCTTAGAGAAAAGACAGTATAAAATTTAAAAATAATTTTCCTTTGTTGTCTATTGTGTGCCATAGGTATTTGTTTATCTATAAAGGCATAGCTCATATATAAAGTAAATTATGATTTATAACCTCTAGCAATGCAATGGGAAAAATGAGAGTCTAAGATTTGCAGAAATACCTGCTTAAATAGAAAGCAAATGTTAACTTTAGAACCCATATTTTAAAGAAGCAAGAGTAATTAAAATGTTTTATCACTATTTATTACTCATAATTTTGCTTAAAAGAAAAAGTTGATATAAAATTACTTCGCTTTGATTTTGTTGGTTCACCCCAAATGAACGTTCTGCCTTTAAATCTTATTCAGAAATGCCCGAGAACTGAAGATAGAGAAAGTACAGTTAGAGTTGGAGAACCAAGAGGTGGAAAAGAAGCTGCAAGAGTTCCAATCAACAAGGAGCAAAGACAAAGAAGAAAGAGAGTAGGTGACGTTTTTGGATAATTTCAGAGGAATAAACTGAATTATGTAAAGAACTATTTTATGTACTCTTGTCCTTCCAATAAAGATCTGTCCTGAATGAACAATTTCTGGCTTTTCCTGATGATCAAGCAATATTGAATTTCCCCTGTTTTTTTCTATTTGTGTTTCTTATATAAGACATGTTGCTTTTTAAAACCACTATGACTTTTGTATCTTCTGGACCATATTTACTCTCACATGTTCTTATTTCTCTGCTTTTATTTTTCTTCTGAATCAGTTATAGTCTAGAATTTTCAGGACATTAATACAGAATTTGCCTTTTGCTCCCCTAAAATTGCCATCAACAGAAGATTGCTAGTCTATGTTTAGAGTCATTATTATTTATTTAAAACCTTTGAGGGGCAGGAGTTTACATGTTCATACATATATAAGAATTGCTTACAACCATGAATATGTTTGAAATATTTTAAACCAACATGCTTTAGCTGAAATTCAATTAAAGAAAATTCAAATGTTTATTATAGTTTCAGGATAATTTATCTTTGTCTATTTCCATGGTCGGCAAACTGCGGCTGGCAAGCCACATGCAGCTCTTTGGCCCCTTGAGTGTGGCTCTTCCACAGAATACCACAGCCTGGGCGAGTCTATTTTGAAGAAATGGCATTAGAAAAAGTTTAAGTTTAAAAAATTTGGCTCTCAAAAGAAATTTAAATCGTTGTACTGTTGATATTTGGCTAATGAGTTAACTAATGAGTTTGCCGACTGCTGACCACTAGTCTATCTCTTTGAAAAATATTCATGACACATGCACACACCCTTTCTCATGACTAGAACATTGGTTTAAACAAGGCATCCCTGTAGTGTATGTCACCTTAGGTGACAAAGTTTATTGTGCATCTTGCTGCTCTTCTCTTAATGATCCAATTACCAGTTTTATTTCTTTTTACTTCACTGCTTTGGACTTCTCAGTGGCTCACAAATGTGTCTGTAAAAGAGAGTTTCTGAAATCAGCTCCCAAGAGTCAGTTTTATTTAGCTGAGGAACCTTTTCTCGGTATTTTAAAAATTGTTCTGAAGCTTGACTGAGTTTTCAGAAGAGTTAAATGCTTTACTAAGGTTACATGGGAGGTAAATGTAGCCGGAATGAGAATGTGCCACTTCCTGGTTAGGAAGTTGGAAGCCCAGAGTTCTCATCTTGGCTTTCTTATCCATCATCTGTGACCTTGTGCAAGATTTTGTCTCATTACTTTTTAAGTGGGAATTGAACTCCCTGTTCTGTTGACTGAAAAAAAAAAAATTGTGAGTCTCAAAGGTACTTTGAAAACTAAACTGTAGAACAAACAGCTTGCCTTCTTTGTAATATCTGTTACCTTTCAACCTGGGAGCTAATTTTAAGTTTTAATAAGGAATTAATCACTTAGATCTGCTGAATATTTTTTATTATTGTTTTGCTTCCCATTCCTGTTCATATCTGTGGACCCTTAACTTTTAAAACTGCATGACAATCTGTAAAGTTTCCTATAAATCAGTAAAGCTATCTATAGTCATTAAAATGTCCAAAAAAAATGGAATACTTCATCTCTTTGGACATTTCACTTTTATTCATTTTATCTCAAAAATTCCAAATATGGTAGAGCTATATTTCAGAATTACCAAGGAAGCTGTGGCATTATTGATATTTCATTTTCATTTTGTGGTCGTCTGTTACATGCTAACAACTGCATTTCCATTTTCTGAAACAGGAAAAATATATTTGTTTTCATTAAAAGGAGAAATGTGTTTAGTTATTATATTTTATTTTCTGTTTATTTATATTAAAGGTCAAGTGACTATCACTGGAAATCTGGAAAAGTGGGAAAATTGGGTAATCCGTCACATATACTGTCACAAAATAAAGGAAATGTTATTAAGGTAAGAAAATATTACTTGATTCTCAAGCAGCTTGCTAAGCAATAATATATAAATTATGTTTTCAGGTCTTGCATTACTTTCCATACTTAAGAGCTTACTGTTCTTGTTTTAACAACTGCATATTATTGGATTTTGATTAATTTTTTATAGGTTATATAGAACTTTCATATTCAGATATGTTTTTGTTTTTCATCTGCAAGTTGATTTTTAGAAATTCACTTTGAGTTGAATTTTTTAAAACTGATTTTTCCCATTCAGTTTTGTTTCTGGTGTCAAGTATTTGAAATAGAACCATGTAGGTTATTTGATATAATAAAGGGACAGATTTTTTTCTGCCTTTTTATTATATCACATTTGCTTAATATGTTGATATGCTGCTTAAATAATAATTATTATCCATATCCTGTTGATTATATATATGAAGATACCAAGGGAAAACTACTTATAGGTTTCCCAGCTATAGAATTACTTAATCTTTACTATCCTATATAATAAAAGGGTAATATGCAAATAGACCGAATGGCAGAACAACTAGTTGCTCTAATGCACACTGACCACCAGGGGGCAGATGCTCAATTCAGGAGCTGCCCCCAGCCTGCATGCCCCAATAGCCCAATTGCAGGCTGGCGAGCTGGCAGGAATGGCCAACCCCTCAGTCCCTCCCTCCCGGTCAGCTGGCTACTATCTCAGGTTGGTGAAAGGGTTACTGGGAGGGGTGGCAGAGGACACGGGAGGTGCCAGACCAAGGTCCCCACCCTACCAGTCACCCCATACGCAGAGAGCGTCCAGCGGCAGGAGGTGGGACCAGTGAGTGGGTGGGAATGGCCAACCTCTTGGTCCCTCCCCACAGCCAGCTGGCATTCTTTCCCACAGCCCAGACAGACACAGGCCTGCCCACAGCTGCAGATAGCTGCTGCTCACTCCTCTCCACCTGCTCCCTGCATGGGAGGGAGGAGCCATCAGCAAGGTAGCAGGCATTGGTTAGGTGGGTCTGCTGAAGTCTAACCTGTTCAGAATTCCATGTTCTATGCTTAAAGCACCTGATCTTACCCTCCTCAGTGGTGATATGACCTGAAATCTAATTAGACCTTTTAGTGAGATGGGTTGTCATGCCCCAGGATTCTGCAAGTAGAATCCTCCAGCGAATAAATGCAGTTGAATGTTCAGGTGTGACCAGAATGACCTTGATAGTGCCACCAGCCCCCTGGAATTCTCTCAGGCATTGGGCCCATACCCCATCCCTTACCATGAAAGAAATTTCACACAAAGCATCTTCCGTGAGCCAGCCTCCACTGGGGGATCACAGTCTCCTACTTGAGCTTGAAGTATATCCTGGGATGGGCCCACCTTGGGTGCAAGATGGTGAATGGGGAACTGGGGGTAGGTGGCAGTGGGGGGCAGGGCCGGCTGCTGGAAGCCCAGTGAGATGGCCCTGATCACAGGCCAAGCCTAGGGACCATACCTGCACATGAATTTCATGAACCTTGCCTCTAGTGTATTATAAAATAACATTGCATTATATGTATGATTAAAGCCAAATGAGTGCCATTCTATAAAGAAAACTGTTTTGCTTCTGAATTCATTAGTACAAGGTCCATGACTTTGTGAGTTTTAACTTATATAGCTTTTATTTTTTATATACCTGTCATTAAACTTTCATTGGGCAGTTGGCATCTACAAACATTTTGCTTGGTGCTTCTAAACTTTTTGGCTTTGAAAAAGCATTTTATATTACTGAAATATGTTTCTTTAATTTTTGGATTAAAAGTTTTATAATCCACCTTCTGTTTTTTATTATCTTTCTGAGATATAGTGTTCCATGTTTTAGATGCTATTATAAATATAATGTTTTAAAAATGATGACTCTGTGATTCTTATCTAATTCATTCTTTAGTATTTATTTTTATTTTTAAAATATATTTTTCAGAGAGGAAGGAAGAGGGAGAGAGAGAGAGACATCAGTGATGAGAATCATTGATTGGTTGCCTCCTGCATGCTCCCTACTGGGAGTGAGCCTGAAACCAGGCATGTGCCTTGACCAGGAATCAAACTGTGACCTCCTGGTTCTTAGGTGGATTGGCTATTCTTTAGTATTTATTAAATGCCTTCTTTGTCATGTAGTGAATTTTCCTTGTTCTCCAGGAGATCCTTATCCAATGTGGAAGACAATGTAAAATATAGAAAACATCAGTATGTAATTTTTCATAACTATTTAGTGTATGAGCTATCTGTGCTTAAGAAATAATAGTTTAGTTCTGAAAATATTTGAAAGTCTACTAGATGTGTTTGTAAGAAAACAGTGATGAATAAGTCATAATGCTAGTGCCCACAATCTTCATAATTGAGTCAAAGGATGAACTCATGGAGGGTTGGGTGCTATAGAAGGTGAGTATCCTTATCTAATAAAGAGGGAATATGCTAATTGATCATCACTCCATCACAAACTTGGCTGCACCCACAGCTGAGGCCAAGTTCCCTTAAGGAGCCTTAATGAGCAATCAGCAGGGACCTGAGGCTAAGCCCTCCCCCGCCCCCATGGGACATGACAGGAGATGTCAGGCCATGCCCCCCACCCAGCAGGGCTTAACAGGGGACCTCAAGGCACTCCTCTCACCCTGGTCAAAGATGAAGGACCTCAGGCCATGACCCCCGTCCTGGTGCTGGGCCAGGAGACCTGAGGCTATGCCCCCTGCCTTCGGGGCTTGAGAAGGGTGGGACTGGCCAGGACTGGATCTCATGAGATTTTGAGGCACATGTGGGTGGGGACTTGACTCTGGGTCCTGTGGTGTGCCCCAGACTTTGATAGGAGGAAGGTTTTCATATACATTTTACTAATTTTCTTTCATCTCTGACACTTCTATTATAGAGAAAGGGCAAATAGCAATATTAAATTAGTTCCTCTAATTAATCCCCTTTTAATGTGCACAAATTTCATGCACTGGGCCACTAGTCCTAGTATAAGGTGAGCTAGGACAGGAGGGGAGGCCTTAAGTAACGCTGATTTTTTTCATTGTATGAATGGAATTCCCTGCAGCTTTGGAATAGGAGGATAGTAAGATTAAGGTGATGCTTTATGATGGTTGATTTTGTTAAAAAATCCAATGTATTTTAAGTTTATAAATATAGAGCAAATGACATCCAGACTGTTTTGATCATGCATTGCATTAATAAAGAATATATTTTGAGCACAGCTTTGTGCCATGAACTCTTTATTTATAAATAGAATTCAATTATATATATATATATATGTATATGTATATATATATATTTGTTTACTAATATATCATGCAAATTGTAAAGCAAAATATAGATATTAATTGAGGATAATATGTAGATTTTTCTTTGATATTCTCTGCTCTTTTCCTGAACTTCCTCAGACATGCATACATGCTACTTTGGAGGCCACTGGTATAAAGGCAGAGAGATCTTTAAAAGAATCTAGAGATCTTTAAAAGAATCTGATGAGAAGAATCTAACTTAAAATGTAGCAGAATAATTAAAAGGATATATGGAACTAAAAAAGCAATGAGAAAGTAAAGGAAGAAATCAAATGTATAATTGATATTACAGTCTGGGTTGGCTAGGAGATAGAATAAAGAAAGAAATTAGAAAAAAAGTTCTGGAATATTGATTTAGATCTTCTTCTCTTCCTTTCTCTCTTCCTTCCTTTTCCCCAGCTTTATTGAGATATAATGACAAAATTGTAACATATTTAAAGTGTTCAATATGATTATTCAATATACATATATGTTGTAAAAGTAACCCCGCCCACTGTGCTGAATTAATTATTTATCTATCACCTCACATATTTCTCTCTCTCTCTCTCTCTCTCTCTCTCTCTCTCTCTCTCTCTCTCTCTCTCTCTCTCTCTCTGTGTGTGTGTGTGTGTTTTGATCAGAACATTAAAGTTCAACCCTTTTAACAAATTTCAGAGATTTAGAGTTTTTATTTGATTTAGGATATTTTTTTCTATTGATTTAAAAAACATATATTTTAGATTTTTTACAGAGAGGAAGGGAGAGGGATAGAGAGTTAGAAACATCGATGAGAGAGAAACATCAATCAGCTGCCTCTTGCACACCCCCTACTGGGGATGTGCCTGCTACCAAGGTACATGCCCTTGACCAGAATTGAACCTGGGACCTTTCAGTCTGCAGGCCGATGAGCCAAACTGGTTAGAGCTCCATTGATTTTTAGAGAGCGTGAAAGGGAGGGGGGAAAGACACACAGAGAAATATTGATGTGTGAGAGAGAGACATTGATTGGTTACTTCCAACATATGCCCCAACTGGACTTGACCAGAATCAAACCCTTGACCCTTCAGTCCATGTGCTGACGCTCTAACACTGAGCAAAACTGGCTCTGGCAAGATTTAAAGTTTTTATTTGAATTCTCATGTGTTTGTAGAAACTGAGCAAATAAATGTGGTTCCTAAGAATCTAAAGCACAGGTGTGAAGGGTAAAGCTCCAGGTATATGGAGGCCAAGGGAACTTTAATATTTACTCACTCTCTGTTTTACACCAGTCAACAGCTTAGCTGCTTTGTCTGTTTTATCTCATTAAGTGCTTCTATCACTCTTAAAAGGCAGCAGTTATTTTTCTAGTTCCACAGATGAAGTAATTTAACATCAAATAAGTAACTTGCTCAAGGTCAAGCATCAGGGCCAGGATTTGAGAGGCAGGCCGGCTCTAAGATAATTCGCCAGCTCTGCAGCGAAGGGAGCCTGAGAAGAGGAAGAATGCTGGGAGGAGACTCAAAATAATGTGATTTCCTCGAAGGGGAAAGTGAAGGAGGGTGTTTTTAGAAAATATGGAGAAGTCAACCCTCTCTGATACATTGTGTAGTGGAAAAGTTTTGAGTCTAGTTTTAGACCAGTGTTTTCTCCACAGGGGCAGTCCCCTCCCCAAGAAGACACTGGCAATGTTTGGAGACATTTGATTTCACCAATGAGAGTTTTTTGTTTGTTTGTTTGTTTGTTTTGCTAATGATATGTAATGGTTACAGTCCAGGAGTGCAGCTATACATCCTACAGTACATTGGACAGCCCTCATAGCAAAGAATAATCTTAGCCAACATCAAGAAACCCTGTTTAGACTAAATTCCTCACTCATTTCCTTAGTGTTGTGATTTTTCAGACAAGTCATTTGACCTTCCTGAGTTTTTGTCACTGTGTTTGTAAACATGCATAATGATGTTGGTTAATTACTTCACAGAGTCTTTAGCAATGTGTGAGATACTAGGTGTGAAACCAATTGTAACATCAACTGAAAATCACATTAAAATGTCTATTTATGGGGAATGAGAATTTCTAGAAACACAGAATTTGATTTGATGATTGGGTCATTTTGCTGTTTGTGGTTGCGAGATGGATTCACAAAGCAGAGTAAAGATTAAAGATGCAAATGAGAGAAGTGCCAGTTTCTGGGGGTTATAGTCTTTTTTTTTCATTTTAATTTCTTTATTGATTGAGGCATTACATATTTGTCCTCATCCCCTCACTACCTCCCCCCCCGCCCCCCATCATGCCCTCACCCTTTTGTTGTCTATGTCCATTGGTTAGGCTTATATGCATGCATATAAGTCCTTTGGTTGATTTCTTCCCCTTACCACCATCCTCCCCTACATTTCCTCTGAGGTTTGACAGTCTGGTTGATGCTTCCCTGTCTCTGGATCTGCTTTCGTTCATCAGTTTATGTTGTTCATGTTACAATTCAGACATATCATTAAGGTAGAAATATTGGAAACTTTGGTTATAAAAATGAGATTAATTTATCTGTAACTTTTATAATATTACACATTTAAAAATAAAAGTTTGCCAGGACCGGTTTGGCTCAGTGGATAGAACGTCGGCCTGCGGATTGAAAGGTCTTGGGTTCGATTCCGGGCAAGGGCATGTACCTAGGTTGCGGACACATCCCCAGTAGGGAGTGTGCAAGAGGCAGATGATCGATGATTCTCTCTCATCGATGTTTCTAACTTTCTATCCCTCTCTCTTCCTCTCTGTGAAAAATCAATAAAATATATTTAAAAAATAAAATAAAAGTTTGATTCATAAGAATTGATTATTTTAATCCCATTTTCTTTTTTGCTGTGTTTGGTATATAGCATCTGAGTAGCTACTTAAAGAACTTGAACAATAAGTGCCTTTTTGAAGCAAAACCACTAGCTTCACTGAAAATAATTAGGCCTAAATTTTCACATGACTGTGGTTGGTACAGCCATAGACATAGAGTCAACCATTGTTCCCATATTCTCATTTACAAATTGGGCAATTGAGTGTGCAAATTGCAAATTGAAAAGTAGGCATGAACTGACAGTATCTGTGTAGCTGTGCATGCTCATCCATATTTATCTGTGTAATTTCAACTGCTGGTTTTAATGACCAAGGCAAGTATGTGCAATTGGCCAATCTGTTTTATATATTTAAATCTTAAGATCCCAGAATTTTAAGTGGATATTTGTCTGAAATACCTAGCATTGAGTCTTATTTACCCTTTTTTCTCCCTTACAATTGGGAAAGCCAAGTATCACAAATATTTGGAGGTTAAGTCTATGATGCTTAAATATGTGGTTCTCTATATTGGTCAGTTAAGATAATAATACTGGCTCCTATAGTATATAAGCAGAGTAGCTCAGTCATAATTTAGTTCAGATCCAGTCTATGCAAATATTAGACTTTGTGTCTTTTGCAAAGATCAGAGCTAGAAAAGCCTTTATATTTGAATAACAGTGCTTTCCTAAAATCATTTGGTGAAATTTTTATTGGTCATATTATTACAAATGTTCCTCTCCCCTGCCCCCATTGCTCTCCTCCACTAGGTTCCCACCCCACCCTCTGCCCTTTCCCCACCCCCTATTGTCCTCACCCATAGGTGCACAGTTTATGTTCAGTCTCTTCCCACACCCCCCTCTCCCCTTTTCCCCAAGAATCATCAGTTCACTCCCCTTCCAGACCTCTGATTCTATTATATTCAACAGTTAATATTGTTCATCAGATTTTTAAAAATTTCCTTGGTTTTTAGATTCACTTGTTGATAGTTACATATTTGTTGTTCATAATTTTTATCTTTATTTACTTTCTCTTCAGCAATTCATATAATTTTGGTTTGGCAGTGATGAACTCCTTTAGCTTTTTTTTAAATTTTTTTATTAGTGAAGCTCTTTATCTGGCATTCGATTCTGAGTGATAGCTTTGCTGGGTAGATTATTTTTGGCTGTACTTCTTACTATTCATCACCTTGAATATTTCTTGCCATTCTCGTCTGGCCTGCATGGTTTCTGTTGAGAAATCAGCTGACAATCGTATGGATGCTCCTTTATAGGTAACTACCTGCTTTGCTCTTGCTGCTTTTAATATTATCTTTGTCTTTTGCTCTTGGAATTTCAATTATGATTTGTCTTGGTGTTGTCTTTTTTGGATTCCTTTTGTTTGGAGTTCTGTGCGCTTCCTGGACTTGTAAGTCTAATTCTTTCACCAGGTGGGGGAAGTTTTCTGTCACTATTTCTTTCAGTATGTTTTCGATATCTTGCTCTCTCTCATCTTCTGGGACCCCCATAATTCTGATGTTGGTTCGCTTGAAGTTGTCCCAGAGGTTTCTTACATTATCTTCAATTTTCTGGATTCTCTTGCCTTTTTGCTTCTGTGGAGGCGTGTCTTCTGGCTCTTTATGTTCCAAATCTTTGACTTGATTCTTGCGATCTTCCATTTTGTTTTTAGGACTCTGTATAATATTTTTTATTTCAGACAATGTATTCTTTATTTCTTGTTGATCCCTTATCATTTCTTGTTGATTCCTTATTAATTCTAGTTGATCCCTTTTCATATCCTCATAGGTCTTATCAACCTTTTCTGGGAAATTCTTGAAAAACCTTATAAGCGTAGATTTGAACTCTACATCCAGTTGCTTTTTGTCCTCCATTTCTTTCATTTGTGATCTATTTCCTTATCTCGGCATTTTCGCAGCTTCCCTGATGGGGCGGGGTTTCAGGTTGGAGCCTCCAGCCTTGACTTCCGTCAACCACGCCCTATGGGGCTCCTGAGTCTCAGTAATCCCCAGGGTCCTTCAGTACTCCTTGCAAGCATCTCTGAGAGAAAGGTGCCCTTGATTTCGCCTGCTACCAAACAGTCTAGGCTCTCCCCCAATGACCCCGGAACTGGGGTTCAGTTCAGTTGGAAGTGGAGTTGGAAGTGGCGTTCAGAGCAGTCCAGAGCTTTTGTTTCCTTCCTGCCAGGGCAATCCCGCAGCACAGCCAACCGTCCCTTCTCTGTGCACAATGTGCGCGCCTCCGGGACCTCCTTTTGGCGCTCCCCCGGGGTTCCGCCTTACAGCCCAGCTCCCTCTGTTTGAGCCTGGGTCCTCAGGGTCTGGTCTAGAACTGGGGTTCAGAGCAATCGGAAACTGGGGCCCTGCACAGTCCAGAGCCTTTGTCTCCTTCCCGCCAGGGCAATTTGGCAGCAGAGTCAACAGTCTGTCCTCTGCGCACAATGTGTGCACCTCCGGGGGCTCTGCCTTTCACCACTCCCCTGGGATTCTGCCTCACAGCCCCGGCTCCCTCTGTTTGAGTCTGGATCCCCAAGGTCTGGCCTAGAACTGGGGTTCAGCGCTGTTGGGTCTGGGGTTCAGCACAGTCGGAGCTTTTATCTCCTTCCTGCTAGGGACCGCCAGCCAGGCACTCAGCCTCCCCCTCTTCTCCGGCTCCATCCTCTCCGCACGCTCCGTGTGTCTCAGTACCTTAGGCTTTTACAGCTCCTCTGATTTTCCTTCTGGTTTTCTCTTTCCTTCTTGTTGTAGAATTTCCAGTCAGTTGACTTTCCTGTAGTTCTGGGTAGTGTCCATTTTATATTTTAGTTGTATTTTATTGAAATTGTTGTGTGCGGCTGCGGCTAGGTATTTACCTGTGCAGCCATCTTGGATTCTCAATTTATAGTGTTTTAAAAGACTGTTTTTTATATATTTCCAAAATATATTTTCTTTTTTATAAAATTTTATTAACTTAATTACAAGGTCTAGTTATGCTTTAATGAGGATCTATTAATTTTATATTATTCTTTCAAAAATTTTGTTTTCAAGATGCACCAAAATTTTATAACTTTAGATATTTTTGTTAATGACTTAAACTTTCTTTGAATAAGAGAATGTATAACTAACAAATAGTATCTATTTCATTCATATAGCCTTTCCCTGGAAAAGTAAGATTAAAATTACTGAAAGAGAAGCTTCAAGGTAAACAGTTTACCATTATATTATTAGTTGCTACAGATATAATTTTTTTTACATTTGAATTACATAGAAAATTGAAGTGCTAGAATTGTTTTATGCAATAGAAAGATTCCACATTCCCAGATGATGACTCTACTTTTGATACTCAAAATACATTTTACTTATGTTTGTTTGTAGTGGAGGGGGGATTATTTTATTTACAAAGACTATCAACTTAGAATATGATTATAATATAGCATTATTCATAGTGAGGACTTTCATAGCACTAGTACTTAAAGTTTATTAATGTCATCTTTTAAATATATTTTATTGATTTTTTAGATAGAGAAAGGGAGAGAGATAGAGAGCTAGAAACGTCAATGAGAGAGAAACATCGACCAGCTGCCTCTTGCACACCCCCTACCGGGGATGCGCCCGCAACCAATGTACATGCCCCTGACCGGAATAGAACCCGGGACCTTTCAGTCTGCAGACCGACGCTCTACCACTGAGCCAAACCGGTTTCGTCTATTAATGTCATCTTTTAACTAGGATAATAATTTGGCAGTATAAATTATAAATTAAAAATGTACTCTAGGAAATTAAGGGGATATTAACAAATTCATTTATATTTTAATATATTTGACAACAAAAATCTAAATCAATATTGAATATATAATAATTCCAAATGAAATAAGATTTTTTAATAGAGGACAAACCCATTTGATTTGAATGGCTAAGATGACTTGGCAGAACAAGTTCTAGAAATATATATCATTTAGTATACAAGAAGTTCTGTGTGGGCTTCAGTTTGATCTGGAGATATGACAGAATGCCACAGGTATTCTATCAAGAGCATAGTTTTTTATGTGTTTTTTTTTTTTTTGTGTGTGTGTGTTTAAAATAATATATAATATATATATATTTTTAAATGCCCCACACTGAGATCAAGCCTGCAACCCAGGCATATGCCGTGACTTGGAATTGAACCATGACCTCCTGGTTCATAGTCAACACTCAACCACTGAGCCACACTGGTCAGGCAAGAATATAGTTTTTAACATTTATTACATTCTATAATTGTACATGCCCCCTTTAAGTGAATTTTAAGCAGAGCACAGGTGGGTGAATATGTGTGGCCCTGAGGTCATAGGAGGGGGGCTGTGGGGTCCTCAGCCTACTGAGAGGATTAGGCTTGGCTACCTGCCATTCTTACCGGCCAACTAATACTTAAACATTACTTGATAATTTAGAAATATGCATAGTTTCATTAATTACTTGATCAATTGAAAATCTAAACATCATATTACAAAGTGATTAGTATGACTTTTTCTTTTTTTCTTCCAGAGCCAGTGAAACAAGGTTTTCATTATCAGATGGCAAATTTTTCTGAAAGAGAAAAGCCCAAGATGAGAGGGAAAGTGTGTGGGCAGTGTGAGAACAAAACCGCTCTGCTTGTACGTACACTCTACTGAGATTCTGGGATAGAACTTACACGTGGTCCCAGATACTGTCCCAACTTTTCCTGCTCTGCCAGCGACACACTTTCCCTCTGTGACTCTTACTGTGACACCTTGGGATGAAGTGTGCCTGCTGCTGGGGAAGGCCCACACGGCCCTGAGGCGCCTCCTCTGGCTCCCGGGTGAGGCACTAACTACTTGAACTTGCCCTCTCTGCCGTGGCTCATGCCTGTCAGCCCACACACATGCTTCAGTATCTTCCACCTACAACCCAAACCAAAACTGCAGCAGGCATTCTCCCCTCCTCTGACCCCCACATCTCCCTCTGTGCCCCTTTTAGTCACACGTGAAGAATCTGTTATACTTGCTATCACCATGCTCTCTCCTCTTATTCTCCTCTCTCTCTCTCTCTCTCTCTCTCTCTCTCTCTCTCTCTCTCTCTCTCTCTCTCTCTCTCTCTCTCATTTAGTTGAGGTATATTTTACTTACCGTGAAGTGGAAAGATCTTACTAGTAAATGTATGTATAACTAGATGCCTTCCTAGAAATGTCTGCACTCCCAGCAAGATAACAGAAGACTTGTGCCTTTTCCAACTCATCCCCACTGCAAAGGCAGCCACTGTTGTGATTTTTAGCTCCTTATACATAGTGGTGCCTGTTTTTGAACTTCATGTAAATGGAATTATAAGGTATATACACAGGGGTGGGCTAAGTAGACTTACAGGCATGAGTAAATGAAACACAGAGTTTATTCTTGATTTATTTATTTATTTATTTATTTATAACATAATTTTGCCCACTCCTGTATGTATGTGTGTGTGTGTGTGTGTGTGTGTGTGTGTGTGTGTATAATTTTTCTGTGTGTGTAAGTTTTGCTGCATGTGGAGATGTGGAGATTTACTCACATTACATTTATCAGAGTTTGTTCATTTGTATTACTGACTAGTATTCCATAGGATAGATACACCAAGATTTACTTGTTTGTTCACGTGTTGAATGACATGTGGGTTGTTTCTGTTTTTCTCTGTTATGTTGATGGCTGCTGTGTGTACATTTATGTGCAAATCTTCCTCCTTCCCCCCAATGACATTTGTTCTTTCTTTCCTTAAAAGTTCTAAAGCAAACTTTAAAAAATAGTTCAAAAGATAATGCTTTCTGACAGCTCTCTAACTTTTTATTGGTGTCAATGCCATGAGCTAAAAAAAAAAATCATAAAATACATCATAATTTAAAAGTTCCCATCTTAGCCATTTTACATGCTCAGTTCAGTGGCATTAAGTATCTACATTGTCTGAACATGCAGACATTTATAAAAATATTGGATTTATTTGATTGTAGATTTTTATCATTTTTAAAAATAAATGATTAGTATTGCAATTAATGATAAAAAATTGACTTAATGATTAGTAATGTGGGGCTGTGCCTGAAAGCTTAAGCTTTGAGCCAGAATTTGGGGTTGAAATTCTGGGTCCATTAACTATACTACTTGACAAATTCTTAATCATTTTGTTCTTAATCACCTTCACAATGGAGATACAATGGTCATTATCACTTTAGGGGGTTGTTGTGAGGATTAAATGAGATGAAACATGTAAAGCCCTTAGAACAGTGAGTAAATGCTCACTAAACATTGTGAATATTGTTCTTTGATTCTAGCCTTCTCTTTTAGTTTCATTATACTATAGTTACATAATATTTCTTACTGTTTTCACCTTTTTGTAGTGTTGGCCTAGTCATTTTATATATCTGATAAATCTGTCTACATTAATGTAGGTAACTATGTCATCATATGGGGACTTACCATTATTAAAATAATACAATTTAAAAAAATTAATGGACATAAAATGTCTGTTGAATTTTTAATAAGAGCTTAGCCTACTTCCTATGTTTTATATATTCTAGTGCCTTATTACTCAGTGCATGCAGCTGCTGCATGGCATCAACTGGGAGCCTGTTAGCATACAGCATCTCAGATAGCATTTCAAACATCACCAAATTAACCAGTAGAAGGCAGAAGAGCTTGGTCAACCTCTCTCCAGTCTGCCCCAACTGCTTTAGGCTTTCAGTTCCCTGTTGAGGGAAAGAGGAAGGGTGGGGAGAACACTGGAGGGAACCCTAAAGGGGAGGAAATGAAAGAGAGTCAAAGGGAATGTGAGCTCCTTGACAGAGGCTTTCTGGCACCATCTTGTCATGCTTTCTTATTTGCACCACCAGTGTTCTGAACCTGAGCCAACTCAAGGAAAGGAGGTATTTTAGCCATTCTCGCTGCTTTTTGTCATGGTGGTAAGAGTGTTGAAATGACTGTGCAACTGCACGGTGGTATTTTCACTTGTAGTAAAAATTCCATTTTCTTCTCTCTTAACTTTCAGTCTTGCTTGGTACCAGTATAGAGACAAGTACATAACATTTTTCAATTTGTCCCTAAACTTAAAAATTACACTTTAACACATAAAGAATTTGGAAGATAATTGTATACTTGTCTATAATCATTTCACCAGTCATAACCGTTGCTGACATTTTGAAATAATAATTTTGTTCGAGGAATCTTCTAAAAATATTTTTTAAAACCATGTTTTGAGAAGCATCAGTGAAAGAGTACATTCAAGGAAGTGTATAGGGCCTTTTAGAGGCAAATTGTATGCAAACCATTTGAAACTAAGTGTACCCTGTTAATCCATACAGTAAGATAAAAGAACTAACACTGGGAGTAGTTTTGATCCAGAGACAGTGAGGTGTAGTTTGTACCAGGTCAAGAAATTTGACGTGATGCTGCCTATTGTTTTATGATTTATTAAAAAAATGTTACATGCATACTTTCATCTTACACACATATAAGACATTCTATCGAGTATAGTTATTTTGATATGAGAGTAATTTGTTTACAAATTAGTTTTTCTGAGTTAAATCTTAACTGGGACAAATAGTTGTTCCAGTTTCCTTGGACTTCACTATAGGTATGTAATGGAAGAAATAAATATAATAGCAATAGCATCTATACACAAACATCTTATCAAAGTCATAAGATTGTGTTTTTTTGTTTTGTTTTTTAAATATCTTTTAAGGTATGTCTTGAATGTGGAGAAGATTACTGTTCAGGATGCTTTGCTAAAATTCACCAGAAGGGGGCACTAAAGTTCCACAGAACAACTCTTTTGCAGGTATGGCTTTAAAATACTTTACTGGAAATGTATTTATAGAACGTTTCAACACAAAGACATTTAAAACATGCTTAATTATCGAGAATTTAGGATGATTTGCACTAATTTCTAAAATTCTATTAGGTACAGACAGTCTTTACATACTTAAAATTATTTTACTGAACACTAATCTGAATCCTATTTTGCTATTTAAACTGTGTTTTAATGTAGTTCCTAAAACACTTAGCTTGATTAGAATTTTTATGTTATGCATTCTATCTGTGAATTTGACATTTAAAAATTAGACCATATTTTAAACTATTGTTTTAATTGAATACATGATAAGTATTATTTCTATCTAATTTATGTTAGACATTTTATGTTTAGTTTAAAAATTATTATTTTATTTGTCCTCATTATTATGTAAATGAGCTTATCTCTCAGGTTTCCCCCTACATATCAGAACCTTTTATTTATCTTCATATAGTCATTGTTTTTTGAAATGCCTAAACTCAAACCATGTGAGCTGGTCTTAAAATTTTACTACTTGAGCAACTAATATGGTTAAATGTAGATATGAAATTATAGCACTTACTAGAGGCCGGATGCATGGAATTTGTGCAAGGAGCTCTGCCCTGACAGCTTGCCTTGGCCCACAGCTTCGTCCGGAGGTCATCTGGAAGGATGTCTAGAAGGCCCTTTGGCTGTCTGGTTTAATTAGCATATTATGCTTTTATTATTATAGATGTTTAATGATGCCTTGGTTTCTCATAACTTTCATTCCTTTGATAACAAATATTCATTGAGTACCTTCAAGAAGCAGTGTCTGTGGTAGGTGGTGACCTTGCACAGATGAATATCACTAGGATCCTGCGCTTGGATCTGGAGATAAAACAGAACCAAGGAACTTGTGTAATGGGTTAAGAATTTTATTATTTCTTAGAGGCAAAGGGATGGGGATGATTGGATCTATATATTGAAAGATCACTAGTAGATTTAAATCTTTACATTTAAAAAATACATTTATATTGATTCAGAGAGGAAGAGAGAGGGAGAGAGAGAGAGAGAAACATCAATGATGTGAATCATTGATCAGATGCCTCTTGCCTGACTCCTTCTGGGGATCGAGCCCACAACCCGGGCATGTGCCCTGACTGGGACTCAAACCATGACCTTCTGGTTCATAGGTCAATGCTCAACCACTGAGCCATGCCAGCTGTGCTTTACATGTTACTTGAATATAAATATCAGTAGCTCTAAAGACCCAAGTCATGATAATGCAAAACCTAAAATTGATCTTACTCATATTAATATTTATCAATGTCAATTACTTTTAAATGGTTACTCAATGTTTGGATTATCCTGATAGAAATGCAGAAATGATGGAGGGGAGCAGAACAAAGAAACAACAAAAAACAAACCCAACTCCCTGCTATTCTCTCCTCTCAGGATGGTGCAATTGAACTGTCATAAGAAATAAGAGTTCCTAAATACAAAAGTGAGTGTAATTGCTAACATGTAACCAGTATAAAATTTAACTAAAGACACTCCACTTTAAGGGAGAAAAGTATAATTACCCTACTGTGCGTTTATGTTAGGAATTTTCCATTCAATGATTTATTCAGCACATTGTTTGAGCTATTATTTAGTGAGTGTAGGTACTGCTGGTATGGAAGATACAGAGAGAAATGAGACATGGTTTCTCCCTCAACTTCAGGATCTGACACTTACTATTTAAGTCTGTATCTCTTCTCTCTTTCTCTCACTTCCTCTCTCTCTCTCTCTCTCTCTCTCTCTCTCTCTCTCTCTCTCTCTCTCTCTCTCTCCCACACACACACACACACACACACACACACACACACACACACACACCCGGAGAGGAAGGAGAGGGAACATACATTTCAATAAATGTTAACCTTTATTATGTAAGTCTCTGCCAAGTAAAATGCACGAAGGAAATTATTAAATTATCTTGCTTTTCTCTCTGTTCCCATCCTCTTCCCTGCCTTTCTTTGTGTTAAGATGCTCTTGTGCCTTGGCCTGATGACCATGGCTCAGCGATGAGTGGACATCTCTTTCTGTTTATCAATTATTAACCAGTCATAGAGTGTTTTTGGTTTTCTGTCCTTTTGATACTATCCAAGTCATAAGAGATTTTTTTATTGAGTGCTGGATTCATACCCAATCTGAGAAGTTAGGGTGGACATTTTAAGGGATTAAGCAAAGGAAAAAAAGAAAGAAAGACTCATAGATACAGAAAACAGTATGGTGATGGCCAGAGGAAAAGGGGGAAGTACAGAAAGGTAAAAGGAGGGAAATGGTGATGGAAGAATACTGGAGTTGGGGTGGTAAACATATGCTACAAGATACTGATGGTGTATTGTAAAATTGTATACCTGAAACTTGTATAAATTTATTAACCAATGTCACCCCAATAAATTCAATTTTTTTTTTAAAAAGTAGAAACAAAAACAAACAATAAACAACAAGTGTTTTATAGGATGTGAAGAAATTTGGTGGGAAAGTATTTGTTTCTCTTACAACTCTGCTGTACACCTGAAACTAATACAAAATAATATTGAATGTAAACTGGCATTGAAAATTAAAATTAAAAAATGATGTAGCCATTATGGAAAACAATATGGCAATTCCTAAAAAAAAATAAAAATAAAATTAGTATATGAGGGGAAAAAAGCATTACTATATAAAAAGCAAGCATTCTAGGCTAATGGCTGCTATACCTTATCTTTTTAACCTAGTTATTATAAAGCATAGCCAAATTTGAGTATTCTAAATCATTTGACCCCCATCTTCTAGCCCAGTGAGTCTGTATGAAGTTCATTGTCAGTTAGTACCATTTTGTTCTATCATATCTTGTTTTACTTACAAAAAAAAAATCCCTGAAAAACTGAAAGCAAACTATTTCCATTTCCATATTGACTAACCTGATAATTTCACAGGGCCTTTCTTTTGACTTATGATTGATTTAGACTTGGCAGTGAGCTTGACACACAAGTTTATTTTTACCTCTCAGACTGTTAAATAATTACTTATCTAAAAAATAGAGTGTAAATGTGCACCAGGAATTACTAAGGATGAAAATTCTACTTCTATATTTAGAATGATTTTCAACACTAATGGTTTAAAAAAGATGATTGTAGTGGGTGAGCTTCACATTGATAAAAAATAGGTCTTAATATAGCAGGAATTTCTATTTCCTTTTAACAACAGAAGAGACAAGGTTAATCAGAGATAATGGAAGATAGGAGAAAAAACAAACAAAAGGCATTTTAATGTGAAGTATGACATACACAAAGGGAGGTTGGATTAAACAAATCAATATATTCTGACATGTATATTTTCTTAATTGGAATGGAGATTTCCTTAAGTGGATAGAAGAGATCTTAGGAAATGGAGAGGCAAATAAGAAGAAATAAATGAGGTAGAATTTCTATGTTTTCTAGTATAAAACCTTTATTTTTAGCATCTTTACATTTTGATCTTCAAATAAAGGTATGCCTATATAAATATGGCTATCAGTGGGAATATATGCTTGCTTGAACATAGTTACAGGAAAAAAATTATCAGGAAGGACTTCAGTTATCATCACAGTACAATTTATGCTTACTGACTTTATGGTAGATTTTTTTTTTCTTTTAGTTGACAGTAACCAATATTAGCTTATAGACTCACAGTATTATCATTCTGTTGCCATTTAGAATAATATTATATTTTCATTTTATTTATTTTTTATTTAGGTTTAATTTACACAATATATTAGTTTCAGCTGTACAGCATATTAATTTAATAGTTGTTTCTATTGCTTAATGACCACCATAATAAGTCTAGTTTACATCCGTCATTATACAATTCCAAAAAAATATTTTTATTGCGATGAGGACTTTTAAGATCTACTCACATAGCAACTTTCAAATAGACAATACAGTACTATTAACTACAGTCACCATGTTGTCCATTATATTGCCATGACTTATTTGTTTTATAAGTGAAATTTGTATCTTTGGATCCCCATTTTGCCCATTTTTCCCCACACTCCATCCTTGCCTCTAGTGACCACCAATCAGTGCTCATAATATATATTTTCAAATCATAGCTAGTCATTTTGGATAATATGGTTACTTAATTGGATGATCTTAAAAAAATTCATTCTGGAGCAAGGGAAAGGGAGAGTGAGAGAGAGAAACATTGATTGGTTGCTTCATGCACAAACTTGCAACTTGGGTATGTACCCTGACCAGGATCATGTAACCTTATAGTGTAGGAGACAACACTCCAACCAACTGAGCCACACTGGCCAGGGCTAGTAGCCCAGTAGCCCATTTTAAATGTCACGTGTACACTATTATTGACGCTATGATGTACCCCCAGATCCTCCTCTTTAGGACTGAGACACGCATTCCCTACCTCACTGAAGTGTTGCCTGTGGATTAGCTATAGTTGAGCCTTTCCTATGAATTATTTTGCTCAAAGGGAATAGCTGCTTCCAAGCTTAAACTCCATCACTGCAGGCAGCCTATTTTCTGGGCCAATTTCTGGTCAATGTGAGGGTACATTGCCAGCAGCCCACTTACCTCCATTGTCAATTATGATGGGCTTTCAAAGTTCCCCGCCTTGGGATTGGCAGTTGCATTGAAGTCAGCTGTTGCCTCTACCCAATTCTCCTCCCCTTCACTGTCCAGGTGTTCTCCTCTGAGCAGGAAAAGCCATGCAGGCAGAGCTCAGCATTTGTTTCCTGGGGAACAAACGTGACATTACGCTATTTAGAGTGAAATTTCAGATAATTGTTGCCCTAAATTTAGAGTAATTTAGCGCTGCTGTTTTGAAGGTCAATATATAACATCTTTTTCTTTACTTTCCAAATTCTGAATTAAGTAGGAAATAGATATTAGATCTGGAAGGCAGAAATCAAAATATCAATTTTATTATTGATACAATCAAAATTGGTGGTTGTAGCATGAATATATAGACAAATTCAACTTCCTGGTACTTCCTTAAATTGA